AAGTAGCAGGCTAAAAACTTATCCAAAACATGCTTCCCAAGGTAAGTACGTGGTTGTGCAAATGTAACTCAACCTTAAATTAATTAATAAATTTTTATTATATTAGATATAAGGCAAAAACCAAGGCACTACATTGCTGTTTCAGGTCCTAGGCTTAAAGATATAAATACAAAAGAGAGAGAGAAAGATGGTAAGGTTGCTACGTGATTAAAAAAATTGTTCTTTATGAATTTTGATTTGTAGTTTCTAAGAGCAGCATGGTATAGCAGAGAGAACTAATTTAACACTCAATTAATCAAAAGAATCAGAACTATGTATCTCTGTGGAAAACATATGGGGACCAGAGTCAAAGGTCTTGGTCATAAGTTTTTCCAATGCCACCACCCACTTTCATGGGATAATCACTTAAAATACAGTGTGTGTCAGTTTCCTCACCTATAGACAAAGGATAATAATTTTTGCTCCATCTACCTTATACAATTATTAGGAGCTTCAAACTATATAATATACAAGTAATGAATTTTCATAATTCAAGTATTAACTAATATTAGTCAGTATTATTATTTTCCCCAGTTGGGCCAATAAAAAGTGTAATCACAAGCAAGTTCCTCAAGAAGATGTCTCTCATTTTTCACAGCATTAAATTAGGAGATTAAAGACATGATATTATCTAGCTCTAAAACACTATGCTTTCATTGTTAATTCAGTAATGTGAATCAGGGCCCCCTTTGATTGACCCCAATTTTACTTCTTGAGTCTGTGAAACTGAGTAAAGAAAATATTCATGTTAATTAAAATCATTTATAAGACTAATAAGGGTACCTGATATACTTCTGGCTTTGATTCAACTTCTGGGAAAGATATTTCAAAGCTTTTTGACTTGGAAAGGTGGAATAAGAGATGGCAGCAGGGTATTCTGTTTCTTCACAAGCAACAGGGCAGCTAGAATTATGTGTTCCCATTGTACATAATCCCTCAACTTCAATGTGGTCTGAAATGAAAGCCAGGACAGGGTATGCAGAGAAAGTGAATATGACACAGTGGGGATGACAGAGCATTTGCAAAGCTTATAATTTCATTATTTAAAAAAGTGCTTCACAAATTCTATCACTCCTTTCTCAGGAAATATTGTTTATATTTTAGTATGAATACAGCAAAGGAAACAGATCATAAAACAGGGTTTGTTATCCTCGAATTTAGTGAGCCACTGGATTCAGATCTTTGTTATAAATAAACACTTTCCGGAAAGTTTCCGTGTCTAATTCCATAAAATATCAGACATTTGGACAGGAGAAAGATGAAAAGTTGTTTGTGGAATATTCTGTCACTTTGAGGAGAAATTTCAAACATAATCCTGAAAGCTAATGACTCAGGTTTCAACTAAATTTATACTTCAGCTTGTCTCAACATATCATGGTGTGAAAAAAAGGCTGCCAGCTATTTAGAGACTCTTATTTTTGTGGGCCAAGTAACTTCTAAATCAGCTTCTGAGGTTCTCTATTTTCTGTCTTGCCCTTGTCTGGTTAGCGAAGCCTGGCTATCCAAGTAAACATGGACCGGAAAACAGCCCTTGCAGGAGGTGGGATTTGTCCTGGGCTTTCATTTAGACCTCTTTCCTGCAGCCTTCCTCTCGGCTCCTCACTCTGGGCTCTTGGTAGATATTCAGGTTCTTGTTCTTTTGGTTTTGTCACCGAAACTCTTTGTTCTTGTGAACAAACCTTTTGTTCTCCAAAATCCCCTGATTAATGAGCAGCTTTGAGCTTGATTATCAGACTCTGATATTCCTTCAGAGCATAACTTTTTTTATGGTCTTCTAGTTCTTTAAGACTGTCGGTAATAACCATGACCCTGCCACACAAACAAATGTGCACGTGTGAGCATACACACACACACACACACACACACAAACACACCTCTGACCTGATTTTCCACATGGTCCCTAAAGAACAGCATGCATGACTTGTTTCCCCAAGCTCCCCTGTAAACCTCATCAGGATAGAAAATCAGAAGAAATTTGGCAAAATAACTTCAACTTTATTGGCCAGAAATACGACTTCTCCTTATTCAGCTTGTGAGCTATAAAAAATATAAGATCTCTTTTAACTCAAAGTTCATTGATAAAATATACCCACACTAGAAAATATAACCATTAAAAAGAATGTGCTTTACCAATACCTGTTGTCTTTGAGATATTTTCACAATGGGTAAGAAAAACAAGTTTCACAGAAGGACATACAATCGCATTTATTATCCTGTTTTTATAAAACAACCAATGACAAAAAGTAGTAAATACAAAGCTACATATGTGGAGAAGGTTGTAGTAGAATATACTAGAGGATTAACGTTGGTTGGGGGTTAATGGTATGTAAGCAAAAAAAAAAAAAAAAAAATTATTGCATAAGAAGAAGTTGTCCCCAGTAAGTTGGCTTGCATGGTTATGATTCTATTTATGTAAAAAGTACATTTAAATTTAATGTGTT